TAAAGTACTGACATTCAGAGGTTTAACTCATTGGGTTAATGTGACTATTTTCTGTAGGTAAAATTACTTAGGGAAAAAATTGTTTTTCTCGACTGCTGAAAGGTATGCATCCGCCAAGATTCTACCCAAAGCAGCTATTTATTTTGAGGAACAAATTTAGGATCAGCGCTAAAGTCCTACAAAAAGCACTAAACTTCTGCGCCTACATCTAATTCTTTTTCAAAAATATGTTGTCAGCTTTTTTGAGAATTTTGCTCAATGTTTTGAGATCAGCCACTGAAGTAGTGGAGTAAATAATAATTCGAACGCCAAATCATGCTTCTGATTAATTGTTTGCATCTCCTCCTGTTGATTTGCTTTTTTATTAGATAAGTTCCGAAAACGTTCTGATCTTTCTGGGCAAAACCATTTTTGCTTTCAGATATATTTTAAACCCGGAACGTGTGCACTGAATTTTGTATCTCTCTTTTCAAAAGTCTCGTCGTATTGTCTTAATTTTTACTTAAATCTAACTGAGGCGATAAGTATCCAGGCCTTGTGCAAAAATGATCAACGAGAAGTAAGATAAAGTAAACAGCTGTAAACACAGAAAAGTTAATTTATGCCGAATTGGGATCAGGGTTGAAATTGCCATTATTAGGTGTCACTTGATTTGTTCGCCCAGTTTGAATTTTCATCACAATTTTAGGGAAGATCATCAGTGCACATTGATGATGTTGACTGACCGAGAGATATCTGGGTAGTTCTATGGTAGTGTACGTCCAACTGAGTGGTGTTAGATAAGAGGAATTTTCAGTTTTGAGCAACCAGCAAATTCCAAGCCACGTAGGCTAATTCCAAAATGCGTTGGCTCGGCCATGTGCTGTGTATGCCATTTGACCGAATTCCTCGAAGGGCTTTTTTCATACTACCACGTGAAGTGTGGAAGAGAGCCAGAGGCGGGTCAAACAGTGACTTGGCAGCTGCCCTGATCGTTGTCGTCTTCCGGGATGGGGACCATGAGACGGGCCATATCAATGGTTAAAGACATTGTCAGACATGGTCCAGCCCTCAGTGGCGCTCATGCATCCAAGCTATTGCCCTCAATGTATATCTCTCTTCCCAATCCCCTCATTTAACGGTCCACCTACAGGCTGTATTTACGCACTAATTTATCAGCTTCCGCCTCCAATGCACAGCTATCTATCACACCTCCCCGAATCATCAGTGAACGAAACTGTGATAGCTACAACCACTGTACGACAAGTACGTGGTTGATTCAGCTGATGATGATTACGATGATGATGAGAGCCCTAGAGGGCAGACTGGTAGAGGCACCGAGAAAGCATGAAAGTTCCTTCCACCACCGATCGCTTGCACTGTTATTATCTGCAACGACCTCTATAGAAACATAAAAGCAATAAAACATGATCATTCACTTCTAACACACTTTCGTCACCTGAATACCAAGCAAAATCAAAAGGGTTTAGGCGCGAAGCTGTTACAAGGATGTCTAAGCCAGCACAGAAGCAGTCGGGATGTCCGGGTTCGGTTAATACGTCTCGGTCAGCTTACTCGTAGTTTAACCACTGAGCTATCCCTAACTGCCCTTTCTGAATGGCGTCTCCCTGTTCTTTTTTGTGACTGATGAACAAATTTTATAAAATTTGCGACTATTAAACCAACCGCAGGCAATTGTAGGTTTCCTCGAGTTCGTACTCACATCACTATCATTGGAATAGTCCTTCTCTTGTTTTGGGACAATTACACCGGCAAATTTGCACAAAATGGGGTGGGTCTTGAACTTGAGTATCGCATTTATTGGAGCTGATCAGTTATGTATGTTCTTAGTGATGCCCGAAACGGAGCCTTGGACTTCTGACGTACAAGCCAAGCGTGCTACCCATATTTTCCGCCGCGATTTGGACGCACTGAAATAATCACACCTGAACAGGTAAAAGTGTTCGTGTTTTAGCCATATAACTGGCTTGCCAAACGCCTCGGAATGCAAACAAATGAGCGCTCTGTTTGTGCTGAACGACTGACACCATGGACGGCTGAAGCATGTGGGACAAACCTTCTGAGTGGTTGTCGCTGTCTGAGATATCCATCGGCTTTGTGTTCACATCGTCAGTTTAGCTGTAGTTGAGAACCCACAATGGCGATCTGATCAATTGCAACATGATTTTCACTGGACAGAAATTGTTAAGCATGCGTTTTCAAAACAATAAAAACGCATGTCAATTGGCTGCTAAGAGTAGTACTAACAATATTGTAAAAATAACAGGAATAATATGAACACTCATTCTATGAGAGCAAACAGCGCAAAAGAACCCTGAGAGTTATGCATTTATTCACTAAACAAATGTGTTTTTGACAGTGAAACAACCTAATGAGGAACCAGTCTGCGCGTCACAACACACCTGTAGCTCTTGATTATCGAAACAATTATTGATGCCACTACATACACCGATGCCGTTACATTTTCACGTAACGAGGATTTAGGAGATGGGTGTGCCCACCACAACAAATAGAGATTGATTCTAACCGCAGGACTAGGATAAGTGTATCCGGTATTACGTGCTGATAAAGAAATTCAGACGGCGGGGGGGGGGGCCTGGTAACGAAAGATGCCATTATATCAACCTACATACTGCCTCTAGCATCTACTTCGTTTTGTAGCTCAGTGAAAATTTCTCGCTTGAGAAGCAAGCCGATATGTGACCACATGATTCGACTTCTGTGACTGAAGGCTGAACAAAGCTGTATTCTGGCTAAGTGCAAATTAACTACACTGCTCTTCAGTTGCTGATGGCCAATCGGCTTGGTCTTGTACTACTAACGAGAAGGCTGTGAAATCGAATCTTTCTGGGGATTTGAGAGATACGCACTGTTGAAGATTGCCAGTGAAGATGAAGTAGCTGTTGTGTTATATATGGCTCCTCGGCTCCCGCGCATGGATTAGCTCCAATTAGGTGATACATTCTGAATCGAAAATCCCCAACTATTCACACATTACCAATGAGTCAGACAACCGCCTGTGTTTTGTAAGGCTTACTTGGAACACTCAAATGGCGTGTGACTAGATCCGCATTTATGATTATTGCAGTATCTTGGAGTCATAAACATGTCAGCTCGACAGCAAGGATTGTAAATAAATGTCTGTTTAAATAATTTTTAAATTAAATCTCGTGAACTCGTTCAAGAAATACGCTTGAAATCACTGTCGGCTTTCGGGATACCACTTAGGACAACCGTAAAACATGCGTCATGTACGGTACATAAAGTGAACTGTTATCAGTCGGCTATAGTGTCGAAGCCTTTCAGTATAATTTACTGCACTCACACTGTAGTAGTGGCTCAATAAGGAGGCATAAATGGACGTCATATCACCACGGATTTGGGGAGATTTTCCGAAGTAGGAAGTACTGAAAGGTCGACCGGTCGTCCTAACGCTATCGTTTAGCCTCAATTGATGAGCATCGAGGACTCGAGGCCCAAAAAGAAAATAAGGTTTCTGGGAAGCCTTTGCTTTAGAGTTCTCACTCCAACTAAAGTGGCACCTAGGTTTTCCTGAGTGTAGAACAGAATGTTCCACTGAGAGATAAGTGCGATCTTACAGCAAGAGCCTATTCACTTCAGTAAATTGTAAAAACCTACGGGTACTGTCTACATGAGGTCGAATTCCTTAAACAGTACTGAATAAAACTGACTCTATAGGAGTATTCCTAACTAAGCGTTTGAATTGCTAAGAGCGTCATTATCAACCATTTGAAAAAAAGGTTGAAACTAAATAAGAAATCAAAAGAGTTCGGTGAACATTCAATGAATTTGTAGCTGCACAGAATTTTGAATGTGACTTAAAGAACCCAACACCATCAGAATAATTCCAGGTCAGTCTCAGCATAGAGACATAGAAACTAGCAAGAATTTCTGACTGTTATTCAGCACTGAACTAGCATGCTGGTAAGAAATGATGCTGATTATTTCTTCGTCTGCCAGAGGACACGGCCAAAGTAGTAACCTGCTCACTTGACCCAACAAAGTCTGTGTCAAAAGCGAAGCAATGTCCAGCTATAACCCCATAGATTGTTTACTAAACCATTCTGAAAGCGAATGACACTGTATTCTGTTTTACTTCTTAGAGCGTGACGAACTCATTATGCAGAACACTGGGTTTTTCTAATTCAGCATAGGCGTATTTTCTTCATTTGGCGTCTATTAAGGCGAGATCGTGGTAGAAGGATTCCATTAAATCGGTCCACCAAACCCACCGGTTTTCTTATACACAAGCTCTCAAGAATTTACTGGGTTACCACACCAACGTTTGAACGCAAGCCCAGACACGCTTGACTGCAACTGGGAATTGTATCAATGTGCTTTTTTCATTGGACTCATTTTTATTGTTCTTCCAATCGGCAAGTTACAAAACAACAAAACTAGCTTATCCTTATCTAAAATTGTGTGTGGATGCTGCAGTAAACTGTTGGTTGCCAGGACAACCAAGTGGATCATTACCTAATGTCAGTGGCACATTACATACTACGAGACAGCAGGACATATTGCGGTCGTTGCACGATGGACCCAATCGCATTCAGGCGTATCGGAAAGACAGACGTCAACATCGTTGAGTATGTGCAACATCTTTTGTCCCAGCCACCAATGTTGTGAAACAAACAATGTGTAGTCTTCGTAACCGTGACGACCCTCATAATTGCAGCGCAAACATGTGGACAAAGCGCTAAATGTGGCCTTTTCAATACGTTTTTGGTTCCCGGCAATAATAATCCATTCTGAATGCAATAAGGCAAAGAAACGACTCCGCCAGAAATAATTTCTGCTCAAATTGCTGCATGGCGCCGCTAAAATTTCCAATACTTTTATCTCTCACATTAAAAAGACACATGAAATAGAGGATAGAAATTCATTTACAAAGTTGGAAACCGTGACCTGTGGATGCATCTTCAGGGAGTTTTGAGGAAGATTTTTTCACAGAATTACGCGGTCTCTTGCACTTCCAGATATGTTACCGAACCAAGACCGTTACGAACAGTATCTGCCACCGTTTCTGGACATGAAAGCAACAAAATATTCTGGCCAAAGTTGGACAGTGTCGGATTGGCTATGCACGATTATCATAGGGAACGCATTCTCTCACAATTGAAAAATCAACAAAAACACTGGTGATTTGGTACGTGGGAGGCCATTTTGTAAGATTACTCAAGCGTACTCAACAAAATGTTATTGTTTTTCACAAATGTGAGATTGCCGTGTTTGTGGAATGATTAGGTTCTTGTTAAAAACGTGGAACCTTGTTGATGTGGGTAGCGAGTAGTTGCGTGATCACCGGTTTTGCATATAATAAAGACATTCAAGAGACTGAAGTAGACGTTTTGGGGCGGACGGAAAATCAACTTAGTGTAGCAAAGAACAGGTAAGTGTTAGAAATTCGGTTCGGGAATCGCAAATGTTAAGTAGGGCGGAGGCTCCTCAACGGTTCTCTGGTCAAGGTTTTTCTGGAACAACCACGGTTGGCCCTGCCAATATATAGCAAACCCTGTCTTAGCTCTAGTACAGCCTGAATTTAATCACATACAATCCGCAAAAAAAATTCTCTGTTATATGAATATCACATCTGATTGTAAATAATGCTAATTATTAGTGGCGATACCTAAAATAGGTTCCTGGTGAAATCTGACGAAATCCCATAAGAACACGACCAAACTTTTCTACTCATCAGGCGTCGAGTGAATCAGATTTCACCAGGTTTTTCAGTTTTCTAGTTACGTGTATCTTTGTTTATCATAAGGTTTTGAACTGAATTATAAGGAAGACACTTACGGACTGCTAATAAGGTATACCACTACCCAGAAGCATGTAACTTAGTACCTGGTATTGTCATTATACGGAAAACTCTATGGTGTGAACTTGGTAATGCTACTGGGTCTCCACGGATTCCTGCACGCGCAGGGATGAAATAGATGAATATATAATATTATTGACTTCGTTGCATTAAATAAAGACAATCACCTGTTTCCTTATTTCTATTTGCACGTCCGTCCATTTCCACAATGCACATTTGCATGCTGCACATGGACTAGGCTAATGGCTGCCTTTTCACACAAACTTTCCGTGTATTTACATGATACAATCACTTATCCACCTGTTTTTATTTTACAAGACAGCGATCCGATCGGTCGGTAGTGGTCGCTCTCGACAGTGCAGACAGAAAACACCTCCAATCTGACTCACCTAATTGACAAGCCATTTTCACTTGATTGCTCTCTACTGCTTCGTGTTTGTTCAATGAAAGCCGACGGCTATTGTACTTTGAAATATATGCCTTGATATCGACCTGCTTATACTCTCTTACTTCATTATGTGCATTAATCCAAGCAAGCTAACACGGTCATTGCGTCAGAACGATGAACAGCTCGATCTTATGTTATAAGCCCTGAACATGATTAATCATTTTGCAATGATGCTGCTCTCTGCTTCTTCGCATCAAAATGTGACGTTTCGGCTGTTGAACAATAGTTATGAACTCGCCATGTAAAGGAACCAGCTGTTTATTTGCAAACTTATATAAAACAACTAAAGAAGTATCTTCGCAATGTAGTTACACTAACTTCCAGAGTAAGCTACCCAAGCTTTTAAGGTTTGCTTTGTATGTCGATTACTTTGCTGAAATCTACTCAAAGCACGCTTTTGCGAGAGCTGAACGCGTGGTAAACAAAAAGCTGAGCCATGTTTCAGAGCCAGCACACTCGTTTTTGGTGTGCAATTATTTTAGGGATGGTACATTATTCATTTGTTTTTGCGTAGTGTCGTTTTGTGTACGAATGTCATGAGAGTTATATATGGCGGACTAAAATAAAAACGCAGAATCACGTTAGTGAATGAGTGGGGTAAACGTTGTAGGGATGCTGCGTGTTTCATGACAGACAAGTGTAGTTATTGGATGGGTAGTTAGTAACGCTACGCCGCACATTTTCTGCGGAAATTTCCAAAGTTTTACAAAAAATGTGTTCGCGCGACGGGGGAGCACTGTGATGTACAAAAGCTAAAGTCACAAACATGTTTTACCATTGCATAAAAAGCGGCTGCTGCCAGAATGACCTTTCGGTTCCGTCGGACAAATTATTCGGTCAATATCGGACTGAGACCTTGAACAGCTTGGCTCAAAGAAGACACTCGTGCCTAACATTTTGTTTCGACGCTCGATTTATTGCACCAAGGTCTCAGCTGGCTCCTGGTAGATTTGAAGGCACGAGACACGCCCCGGTAAAGCCTCGAATTGTCTGTTAGTCGGCGTGATGCTTGTACAGGACACAAACCTACGCAGATGCCCTAGCGAACTGAACAATTCGGTGCGCTAAGCTGTTCAGCTGAATCGACGCGCATGTGCCATCACCTGGGCAGACTGAGGGCTGTAGAACTATGTTCATCGCCCGGTCAAATTCATTGTACACCGGGTAACGGGCGTTCGTGTAGGTACACATCGGGCCCAGCTCAAATCGTCTGTACCACTGCTATTTACGCGCGGGAGCCAGTAGGCTTCGTTCGGATTGAATCCGATGGGAGCTCATCGCGTTCGCACAAAATATCGTTTTACACACTGGTTAGTGATGCAATCGTTGGGTGAAAAAATGGACAACGAACAAACAGGCCAACTGGTTCTTTATGGACGATTCGGTGCACTTCACAAACGTGCAAAGCTTTTCTCTGTAATGCTCCAGAAAGTCGAATCCTCCTGCCTTCAGCAACATTTAGACTTAAGAATTTCTCCATCAGCTGAGACCGAATGCGTCCTTTACTATTATCAGTAGAAAAATAGTGACTCTGACAAAAGCATGACAGCACTCAAAATGACAAACCGAAATGACAAAAGGGTACTCCATACATTAAACATTAAACAGTAAATGCCACGAGTTTACCTGATAAATCAGTAGATAACCGGAAGATTCATTACGCTGAATTTGGTTATAATCTGACACAGTATTTCTACCACATATAACTTTGCTAAAGCTAAATGAAATTAGCAATATTTGAAGGTATTACGAAGGGTAAATAGCTCAATACTCAAGGTTGTCGAACACAAGCGAATTAAGAGAGAAATTTCAAGTGCCGAGAAGCCACTGCGAAATTGTGATTGATGGGCTTACAAAGTACCACCAACAATTTTATTCAGTTTAAATAGCGACTTCGGGATCTGTCCGAACCGCGGCGGATCACGCGGGTGAAAGAATAAGATGCATCTGGGTGAATCAGAACAAATCTAATGTTTGCTGTTAGTCGGACCACAATTTCACAAATGCCACTCACTGTTTGAGGATTCATAAATGCATCAAAGTCGATCGAGGTTTGGTCTTAAAGCAGGTTTAGCTAGGACCGATGACTCAAAATAGCAATCCCATCCGATAGTGGACTGCTCCCATGCGATTGTGCAAATGTTCCAAATGTATTTTGAATACTGGTTCTAAAATGAATGAAATATACTATAAGTTAGCTAGGTCTTATCTGTCCTCTGTGTAAGTAACATGGTTTTGATCTGGTAAAAGAATTCCATATATGAATTTTGTTTTTGATGAATGCGAAACGCCTTGTGAACTACGAAGAAATTTCAACCCAAAGTTCTGCACGTTATCCAACAACATAGTTATTCTATGGCAAAAAACAATGGCGTTGTGAACTTTACTCGGAATAATCAGCGGCTGCTTACCACGAATTTCAGCCTCAAAACGATTCGGATGCAGCTGACATAATTCTATATTGAGGATGTGGATGGTTGCTCGTACGTTTCACACGACTGGTCAACAGACGCATCACTACTTAAGTGAATTAACGCAGTGGTCATTCAGCGCAATAGGAACTCGGATTGAATCATCTCACTGTTTTTTAGTCAGAACAAATTTCCAGTTTTGCAGCAAAAGCTGAAAAACCCACTGATTAGAACGTTAGCTTGTTCGAACTCGTTAAAACCGAAAAGATGATCATTTCTCAGTGGAATTTGGAACTTCAGTAATAGTATGAAGTGCCTTAGTAAACTGGTCCCTCTATGGAGCGGCTAATAAAAACCGATACAAAGTGGAATATTGTGTAATGGAGCGGGGATTTCAAATGAAATGGGTTCAAGTAAAACATAAGGTTGACGGAAACTAGGGGAATGTGACTACCTGATGAGCCAAGAAACCGGTCGTGGGCTGTCGGAGAGTTTTCAGCAACCTTGTGAGTAGTTTCTTTTATGGAAATATACTGCGATATCTCGAATATCGTGCCAACTGAATTATGAGGCGGCCTGTGTGCAGCACATTCAGTTGTAAAATATCATAAACGGGATATTCAGTTGAGTCTCTTGAAAAAACCAAATTGATTTTTAAGTTAGTGTATTTGTCGAAAAGTGCAATTTGGGTTCAAGAACATAGGGTCGACGGAAACTCGGGGACTGCACCTACCTGATGAGCCCAAAAAAGAACGAAATCGGTCGTGGGCTGTCGAAGAGTTTTCAGCAACCTTGTGAGTAGTTTCCTTTATGAAACGCTTTTAGGATTTTTCTTTCGCCTATCTGCACGGTCACTTTGCATGGTTCCCAAATAAACTGGTGCCATCTATTCAGTTATCAGCCCAAACCATGTTACCGTGCCATGGAAGTTGAGTTTACTCGTATCTGTTGATGATGAAAGACGAAACTCAGAGAAACTTTCGGGAGTAAAATGAATCAAAAAGGACAGCTGCTGATATGAAGTGGTTTCTATTGTAACGACGTAGCTTACGTAAATCCACGTACACAAACTTCGTTGCGTAAGTAGCCCTGATATCTGAAGAAATCACAGAGCTTTTTGCGCTGTAATGAATTTGGCCTGTAGATGCAACAAATAAAACCCGTTTCTTCCAAAATTTTATCGATCCCAAAGCCCAACTATTTTGTCATTTTGTTGAAGGACACACGTGCATAAAAGAATAAGTGTAGCTTTTGGGCTTTCTGCATCATTGTTGTGAAAATGACTTGAGGTTGAAGGTTGTTATAAGGAAGCTCCTCGTAAATGATTGGCGGTGAACCTGGAATCGTTGGTAGAACCAGTGAACAAAGGTGCGAAAATAAGACGAGGATGAGGTGTTCAAGCACCATTGACGTCAGGACCAAGAAAACACCATTGACTCACTCTTAGCCAGTCAGTAGAGAC